GTGTGAGAAAAAAAAATTACAGAGGGTTTCAATCTAAAACATTCCCCCCCCCCCCCCACCAAAAAAAAAAATTATACTGCTTGTTCGCTTTGCACCATCGCATGTACGATTATTTATATATATATATTTTTTTTTTTTTTTTGTTCATGGAGGGGGAGGGGGGGGGGGGCAAGACACTGTTTCGTTTGCCCCGGGCGCCTTAATCCCTAGATGCACAATGGCAGTGATAATACTTGCAAATTAATGAGATATAACGTCAAGAGCTAGAAAACCGCCGTGCTACAAAAAATATCTCCAGGCCTATTTAATTTACCTGCGAATTTATCAGTGAACGATAACCTGAAAGATCATATAAGGTTAAGTAGAAAGTATACCGATACATAATATAGAACAAATCATCCGTTTCTAGATTTCAAAATTCATATTTCATCGTAGAACCTAGAACCAAGTACATTAGCATATTTCGAGATATTACAGTAATTACATACATGAACATATATAGAGGTGTTTTTTCCCCCGGCCCCCCCCCCCACTCAGTGTTATTTAGGGTACGCATATGCGTGTTCCAACCTACCCCCCCCCCCTTTTCAGCAAAAGTCCGGTGTGTAAAGTCAATACGGCTCGACCTTTTTCTTTTGTATATGAGCCTTTTTCAGCACCCCCCCCCTTTTCAGCAAAAGTCCGGTGTGTAAAGTCAATACGGGTCGACCTTTTTCTTTTGTTACGAAAAGGACATTTTGGCAACACGCATGGGGTCCGTCCGTTCTCGGAGTGGGGGGGGGGGGGCGGGGTTTTTCCGCAAAAGTTTCTCATAATGTCTCCCTTTTTTTCGTTGAATTTAACTAGATTAAATTCAAGTTGGTTAAGATTTTCTTCCTCTCCCTTCCGTTTACAATTATGCCCTTCTTATAGAGGTGTTACAGTTCCCGAACCGCGAAGCACAAGGTCTAGAGGTAGAGTCCGTACCGCAACACTAACTTCCATTGATATCTACATTTTCAATGATCGCCCAAGTTGTAATGCGTGCAGTTGTAATAAATAATGCATTCCTTGAATGCATTGATCGCTACGGTTATCTGAGTTAAAACCAGGCAATAATGTAAACAAATCTCTAGAATCACAAAGCAACACCTTTTTAAGGGGATAAGTCGGCTTTACAAGAATGCCATGATGGTATACAAATATAGGCCTAATTGTATTTCTTCAGCAATTTTACGGTTTTCTTGTCAAGATGGTTATTGTGGAAACAAATTACAGACGCCGTAGGCCAGCTCTTTTCTTGTTAATACCTACTAAATGAACTCTAACGAGACAATAATCTACCTATTACCACGATTACCCCAGTTGTAGTACATGGTACCTGGAATTATTTTATACGTTGGATAGATAATTTTCATGAATAAAATTATGGTATAAACCTGGAAGGATTACGAGGTGGGGGTACAGTCATAATTTTGATATTGTGTGATATATTTACATATGTATATCTTCATTCCATATTTGGTGTTAACGTCACGCAAGTTTTATTCTTATCTGCGCCTTTTGTTTCTTTGTTTATTCTGGACCTCCGGGAAGAACAGATTAGATTTAAGGCTCTGAATAGATTATAATTATTTTCATTTTTGTATTCGTTTATATTCATAAGAAATATATATGTAAATATGATTTTTAATACGGAAAACAAAACAAAACCAAAGGAAACCAAACTTTCTTTCTTCCACCCACACTTTGCTATAAAATGGCAATAAGAAAGCTAATTACGATTCATGTCCTCGGAGAGCAACATTCACATTTGAGAATCGATAAGGACGCCTACGTTTTTTCACTGCGTTTCACTACGTGTTTTCACATTTTTTTCTTTGTGTCTGTCTTTTCGGGGTCCAATAAACTTTGTCGAAACTCTTGATTTGTACACTTTTACTACATGAGACTTTGTAAAAGATGTTGAAGATCGAAATGTTATTTATATTTATATTTCTTTAGCAATTAATTTACCGTAAATTGGGTAAAAAAGGGAACATGCATACCCTAGATATTGGTGATTGATAGGTGCTGAAAACTAGGACTAAAACTAAAAAGACACAGCCCTGATCCCACCCCACCACAAAAGAAAGAATAAGAGAAGCAAACAAACATTCGGAACTGCTCTAATCAGCAACTTTTGTGTTTGACCTAGTTGTAGCTATATCCGAAGGTTCTTTGACGCTAACCCCCTGAGAAACATCCTTGGGCGATCACAAGCAGGACGATTACACCCGGAAAATTACCAATGGGACAGTTACACCACAAGCACAATCACCCCGAGGACAATTACCCCCGGAAAATTACCTTTCGGTCAACCACCTCCAATTACAATTACCCCTTGCCCCCTCCTTCCAGGACAACTACCCCTTTAGGGCAAGAACCCCGAGGACAATTACCCCCGAGGCAATAACCTCCCCGATGGTCATCATGATAGACACCATCGGTATTTCCAACACTTGTTGGCTGGCTGCACCACACACCCGTTTTTGTTCTTTTGTTTTGTTTTTTTGTTTTATATATTTTGTAACAAACGTATTATGTAAAAGGAACCTTAATTACAAACATAATGCTTCCAAGGTTTCCTCCTCATTACGGCAGATTATTGTTAGCATCGTTTGTATTTAATGATTTGCCATTAAATCGTTTTTATTACTGTTGTATCAATCGTATATTATGTACATGTTTTGTTACCATGTACCGTGTGAGTCAAAAAAAGTTTACACCTAGAAAATTGCTAATTATTGTTAAAATCATCTATGTACAGTATTATATATCTTTTGAAAGAGTGTTTTATTCCAAATCATTTGGTACCATGTTTGTGTGGTGCTTGGATGGAAAAAAGGCATTGTTTGCGAGAGTGCAAAAATCGACTTGCGCCAAAGTGAATCTTCAGTATAATAATATAATATAATAATATAGTATGTATTATGTTGGGATCAACGGACATTGAATGTATCAAATGAAATGCATTACATAAGCTTTTTGCAAAAGGCAAAGTCACACACACCCACACACACGCGCACAAATGTTCGTTAATATTTGATATTCGTTATTTGATATGTGTGGCATGATTAATTTTGTTAGGGGTGTTACTTGGATCTGCAAAGAACAAATAAATACCCAAATCCCAATTGTTTTATTCAAACATCACATAAGAAACTTTGGCGCAAGTCGACTTTTGCACTCTCGCAAACAATGCCTCCTGTTCATCCAAGTGTGAACACATACCACACAAAAATGGTACCAAATGATTTGGGATAAAACGCTCTTTCATAATATGTATAAAATTTGTTACTATTCATAGATGATTTTTTAAATAATTATCAATTTTCTAGGTGTAAACTTTTTTTTGACTCACTCTGTATATGCCTTACTTTGTAAATACTTTTCATATGCAGTTAATGTGGAAATAAAACCTAAATAAATAAAAAACAAAAAATCAACAGGCCGCCCGTTTGTGTGTATGTATGCGTGCATGTGAGGGTGTTTTTGTGCGTGGGGGGGGGGGGGGGTTACGTATGTTGTCTGTATTATACTATATCATAATATTTAGATGGCAACTGATTTCATTACTTTTTTTCCTATTGTAATTGATGAACTGTACATGTATCAAGGTAATTTAATTATGATGGAAAAGTATTGTCTTCTGAAAAATTATTTGCATCGTTTTGATATCGAATGAGATTTATATAACAAAATAGCTCTTTCTCTTTTTTTTATATATAATTATTTTTTTGTCTCTAAAGGAAATTTAAGAGGAATATAGGTTAACAGAATATAGTGGAAAATAAATCATTTGAGATTTATGATCAAACGGGTCGAGAAAATAATACAAACTTTATTTGCGATTTTTTTTTTTTTTTTTTTTTTTTGGGGGGGGGGGGGGTGAAAATATAATTTTGTTTATGTTAATATATTTCATCTGTAAATGTGTAACTTAAGTTGGAACCTTGTATGTAAATGTAAAAGTTCTTTTGCAAATTTATTAAGACCTATGTTAAAATGATTATGTTTGTTTGTATACAATGTTACAAATTATGTACAATTTTTCTTTATGAGAGAAATTAATAAAAACCTATGAAACAAAACAAAAAATACTGAGAGACAAGAAAGAAATGTTTGTGCTATTGCTCTAGGGGTTATTATGATATTGTCTGGGGCTAACCACCTTAGGGGTTAATTTTATTAAGAGGGTAATTTTCCATGGGTAATTGTCCTCGGGGTAATTGGCCGTTGATACAATAATCCTAAGGGGGTAATTGTCTAATGGGGTAATAGTCCTAAGAAAGTTATTGTCTATAGGGGTAACTTCCTGCAGGGCAATTTTCCCGATGATAATTGCCCGTGGTTTATTCCAGGAAGTAAATGTCCTGATACGATATCCGGAAATCTCAAAAATAAGGAATACGATTTGTTCGACAACTCTGCTCCCTTCCTTTAATCAAGTTAATTGCCCTATTGATGTGTACGGGGTGTTTTTCCGGTTTTCATCTAACAAGGCTGATGGATGGATACATTAGGGCAACACGAGAGCTGGACAATACTAGGCCATTCAAATTTGGAAATAATGGTCGAAGTGTGGATGTCGATTTCATTTCTTTGCTTCGTTATCTACAAGAATATTAACTATTCAATACGAGAATAATATGTATCTCTAGAAATTCAAAGCACCCCGCTAGAGGGTCAACACCCACAGGAACACTAATTGGATTCCTGTTATCACTGCCCAGCTTGCATCAGCGTTATCTTATGTTGTGGTGATAATAGTCATTACTTCTGCATCGTATTCGGTACTGGATGTGGTTCTGAAGTCATGTATGAGTCATTACGATGATAAATAAATCATATATACAACACATTTTGCCAACAAATATTAGAATTCGACGTAGGTAATTAGCATTCCCCGTGGGCACTACACGACTTCAAATGGAGATGCGAGGCATGAAAGTATTTTGATGTATCTCTATGAGTGGCTCTGTTGAGATAAGCTTCCGCACTATCCCTATCCATCTTCCATTGTTCTTAATAATGAACGTTTCCATTATCCTTGAGCTACTTACTCGCGATAGCCTTGTTCTTCTTAGCCGAGCCGCTCCGAAATGACCCGATTTGCCATCGACCGGACGGCCATTGTGGGAAGAAGGAAAAAGAGAAGGAGGTGCGTGTCGAACTAAGGAAGGGATGGTATTGGCTGATGTCTTGGGATGTGCTTTTTTCTCTTTTGCTTTCTCCGTGCCCACGCGGTTAAGTAAACTACGGTAGGAGATATCGTCCGTGATTCTCATCTTGGCTCGCTCAAGGGTAATTACTCATGCCGAATGTCGGTCAACTCCATTGAGACTGCTATGAAGACAAATGAGAGGGCCCTACCGGCGAGAGATCCGCTGCGCGAGAAAGGGGAGGGGCAACCAAATTAGCAGCTTTTCCGCGGGTGGTAGATAAAAACAGATAACCACTCCTAACTTTAATTCAAACGAGGTTTGGCGACTGGGCCGTGCTGGCTTGTTGAGAGTTACTCCAGGATTGGAAGTTTGATTTGAGGGTTATCATCGTCGGAGGAGTGATTTCGGTGAGCGGGGAATCACACAGGGGGTATCGTACATGGGCGTTAGATTCTGGCGATGTTCATGTGAAAAGGAGAAACTCTCCCCGACGCGAGTAGGTGGGAGAGAGTACACTTGTTGCTTTAAGCTACACTATTTCATATACAGCGGTGGGCGCTGGCAGAGAGCGCAGCTTATCATTGTTATATCTTTAAAGTTTTTCTCTTCTCGGTAGCACCACCTTGAAGATTGCATCTGTTTTGTGAGGGGAGACTTTGAACAACAACAGCAGACGGTTGCAATGATTGGGGTTTTCATATCAAGCGGCCAATTGGCTCTCCTTTTTTTCATCTTATCTGGTGAGTAAAATCGAATTCGTATGATGATTGCTTTTGTCATTCAATTTGAAGAAGTCTTGCTTTTCACTTTTCATTTTTATTACTCCTTGATAGTTCGTATTTCATGATTGTGGAACATCTATAGCTCTAAAGGTGTAGAGAGAATCATATTTCTTGATATTATTATTATTTTTGCCTTATTTATTACCACAATACTGTTGTTGTTGTTCACTTCATCATCAGTATAGTTATCATTATTATTCTACTATTATCATAGTAATTATTATCATTATTATTGTTATTACCATCATCACTATTATCATTTGTATTTTCATTATTATTATTACTATAATTATGATTATCAACAATGCAACCCTTATATTTCAATATTTATTCCTTAACGTTTCTTATAAAGCTACTATTTGAATTAAAATTACATAATATATTATCGCTGCCGATGACATTAGAAGCGACGCTTTTTCTATTCATAAAATTGGGAAATGTCATTGAAGTCAGTCCATATTATGATATAGCTTATTGTAATTAACATTCAAATCATGATTCAGATTACTCTGTTTTTTTTCTTCGTTTGTTTATTGGACGTGGGGACTGTATTTAGTCATATGGGCTTAATTACAAGAACGGAAGAAAAAAACACTCCCCACACACAAATGAAAAAAAAAGAAAACAAATAGAGCAATAAAAATAAGTGGTCGAGACTGGAAAATGTCTGTCTTCCAAAATAAGTTTTCTGGCAACGGAGATCATTTAGGCGGGTTCCCGGAAACGAATCGTAATGTGTTTACTTATTACCACGATTGTAGGTGCTTAGAACATCACTCCCATAAATCAGACCCGATTTCTGCCATTAACAAAATGTTAAATACCTCTTTCACTTGAAAATACTCTTAATCGTTGTGTTGTGTAGCCAACTGCCTATGTAATACCGAACGGGGAGAATTATCATGATAATTGTTAACGTCGAAAGAGTTTCCCTATTTTTGTAAAATATAAGAAGAATGAGGGAATAGAATATTAACTAGTCAGTAATTGCTGAATTGACCTTTCTGTGACATACGATTTTGGAGGAAAAGAATTATGGTAATAAAGTACCCCAGTTATCCGGTATGAGCCCATTGAAGCACGGACTGATTGGAAAAGGGCGGAGGGTCTACGCCCACTCACAGGTCAAAATTTGATGCTTTTCAAAATTAGGTCAAATCCCCAAATTGGATTTTAATCACTCTCTCCAGTGGCTTCGCATTTGTACTTGTTTTGTATTGTAATTGAATCAATTGTCTTTGACGAGGTAAATAAAACCAAAAGCGAGACCTACAGAATAATCGACAAAATAATCCTGAATCCATACGCATTCATTGAATTTTCACTGTCACTGCTTGGAATTTGTCAGATATTATTTCAATTCGAACGCTGACCTAGGGATAGCATCTCAGAGTTTATTCAGTGGAATTGCAATTATATATTCAAGTGACTCGGTAACGTTGTTGAAGGTTGATAAAAGAACTGCGTAATTTGTGTATCAAATGTTACTTAATATTTTCCTTTTACAGTACTAACCCTTCTAACATGCAAAATATCCTGAATAAATTATTTAACCACAAAAAGATTTATGGTTTCCTATAAAGGCGTCACTGTGCAACACCCTCTAACAGTAAATTCTCCCAACTATTTTTGAATTTTCCTATCCGTTTTTCTATTAAAATAAAACACAAGACAGGCTTTTAATCTGGAATGGTATAAGGAGCCAATTCATTGCTTTGTGACGATTTACATTCTCCTAACATGACATTGAATTGTAATAATGTATTTGGGAGAATTAAGGAGTCGATTAGATCAGTTTTTCATTTTTTGGTTATCATTAATAATGATCTGTTTTCACTCAAATTTTCATATTATCTTTAATTGTACATCTAGCATTGAAGTCAATACCTTAGCACCCCATTTTCTCTCATCTGAACAATGTTCGCAAGTCCCTTTAAACATTTGCAATAAAGTAACATAAGTCGGTTATCATTTCAATTTCGAATCTTCCTTCCATGAAAGCCACTAAGCAAATTTGATTTGAAATTATTTATTCATACTTTGTTAAAAGCCACCCTGCACCAATCAAATTTGAGCTGCTTCTCAGCAATGCTATGATATACAAAAAAAATATTAATGAAAAGAAAAGAGCAATAAAATACATATTTTCTTATAAGTAGAAAATAACAATCACATAAAAAGGTACAACTAAAGACATAGTAATTACATTTTTTTAAAGGTCACTGAATGATTATGAGAAAAGCCCCTTGGTTTAAGTCTGGCAACGAATTTAAAAGAATTTTAAAGAGGATTTTCATAAAAAGCTCAGAAAAATCATCTGTCGAAATTGACTCCAATCCAGTCAAATCCGATTATCGTCAGAGATTTGTACTACTGAATTATGCATATACAATTACCAACAGATGTACACGTTTTATAAAGTTCTTGCTTCGAGGATAAATCCAAGGCCAATGTCAATTTTAAAGGTTGTTGCGTTTCTGATCTCTCCCCAGATCAGGTAAGTACAAATCCGCTAGCGACGGTAATTTTTCCATGGTAACGAAATATATCTCCTATCATGAATTACTTTCAGTTGCAGAATAAATCAATTATTGTGACATCATAAACGTGGGCGTCTAGGGGGACTTTTTAATTGTCAATCAGTGTTTTTTGTTTTCTTTAAAATTAATCTCGTAAGTCAACTTTTCATATAATGATCTTACTTCTAGCACTTTTTCTCCCCCACCCCCTCTTCTTTCCCCTTTTTTTGGCTGATTTTTTTTTCCTTTTCTTTGTTTCATACCCTTTCTCTACCTTTATCAAGACCTAGGTGCACACACCTATTGGTGCCCATCTTAAACGTTTTGAACATAAATGTATGTTGAGATATACATATGTATATACATGTCTATATCCTGCCTACAATACTGTCCTTCACTGAGAAACCAGTGCATTCAGGAGCCGAGGAGCGACCAGATTTTGTCTGGGATGTTATTAACAGATTATTTGTTTGTTATATTACATGTATCAAACTCCTAACAAAGTTATAATCATATATTATTCACAAAAATACAATCCACAAACTCTAAATACCAAACATCTCTTTGATAAATATCTACAGCTCAGAGAAACGTGGCTAAATGTAATCAACTGGCGGTGACTCTGTGAATAAAGTCCCTTATCAAAGATGGAAATAGGTCTCAATGATGATAAAATAGTTGAAGATCCCCGATGTTTTAAAGAAAGGTGACTTAAACTTTTAAAACAATGAGTTGGTTTCAGTATAATTCTGCAACACTTTCTGCAATTTCCAAATATGAGTAATTAGTTTCAGAAGCACGGGGGGGGGGGGGGGCTGGGAATACTTATCAATCAAAAATGCATGTGACCTTTTATATATAATAAAACATTCATATCACTATCATTTCATTGGTCACCACTTGTAAGAGAGGGAGGGGCGGGGAGATGGGCTCTTAATCAAAACTATACTTTATTTGATGGTGGACTCTTAATTAAAACTATACTTTATTTGGTCAAGAGTTACCGATCAATTCCGAGCGGATTGAAGAGGACAGACCAATTTGGAACCACATTAAAGACAGAAAAGAGGAAGAACACAACATATATTTATCAATAAAGGGTCCTTTTATATGTCTGCTACATAAATATATATATCATCAAAATAAATGTTCTTATTATTGCACATTACTTTCTTTACTCTGCCATAGGTTGATGCTTGTCTTATCTTTGATTTATTTTGAAACATGTATGTATATATATATATATATATATATATATATATATATATATATGCATTCACACACACACACGCAAGCACGCACATAAATAAATAAAGAACTTATGATTCAATTAGAATATTCCTCGTCTGGGTAATATATGAATAACGATTAAATCATGCGAAATAAAAATCCGGTTTCAATTTATTTTGTGAAATAGTGAAATGAAATTTTTGAAATAAATTGAAACCTGCCAAAGTGAAAAAATGCGCTCTCAGGGATCTTTTTATATCAATTGTTGTAATCTTTATCTATATATATATATATATATATACATATATTTATAAATATAGGCCTATAAACATACAGAAGTATATTCATAGATAATAGAAATGATTAAAACAATTGATTTTTATCTAAACCTTAATCTTTGTTTTACTCCTAATAAAATTCTAAGGGCAATTTCTTTTCAATGATTCCCTTTTTCCTTACTGCCTTTAAAGAGCGCTGCGGTTCATCATCCCTCCAGGGATTTGGCGCCGGTCTTTGATTTGCGCCAGCGTGATTCTTCTTCATGTCCTAGACAAATATATACAGGTTCAAACGGAAGCTCTGAGATCACGACCGGCGTCCCGGCATTGTGGCATATAAATGTCAGCCGGTGGTCGCAAGGACTAAATTTAGAAAATGCAATATTGATAAACGAATGGTAATATTACAATGGCCTACAATCCAGAGAAACTTATTACATTACATGACAATGCTTTCGATCGCCCCGCTTATGAGAGAGCCACTTGAGAGCAATGTTATTGGCTTCTCTATTAGTGAACTAAATCCTGCGTTATTAAAAGATCCTGACTATCATTGAATTGGAAGCTCACAGGGCTGTGGGAAATAGTATTCACTATACGTCATAGACATCGGTAGAACCGAATAGGCAACGCTTGGAAGCATATTGGCAGGAGGACAAAAATAGGCTCTACTGTCATACCCAACGAAATAATAAACATTTGTAAGATCATAGGAGGTGTATCTAGAGGGCACGTTCGTTCTTTTTAAGTGAAAAGTCAACTTGGGGGGAAAAGTATAGAAAAGCACTAATGGGATTGGGTATTTTTGCCTCAGATTCTAAACATAATCCTTGATTTTAATAGCTCATGCTGCAATCATAATTATAAACCTTGAGGTCAGAAATGAATCCCATGACTTTTACAAGCCAATCGCATGTTTTATTATCAAGAT